GTCTATATTTTCATGGCTGAAAACTCCTACTTGTAAATGACAGCCACAGAAGCCTTAGGACCATCTGTAGTAACTGTTCCAGCTACATAATCGAAGTCTTCAATTTTTTTAATCTAAAATTGTTTTTATTCAGGTGTTACTCCTCTTTCCCCTCATCCTAGTATTGCCTTTCTCGTTATGCAGAAACCTCAGGTAAAAACTGCATTTAGAACCATATTAGATGACTTGGTTTCCATAGTTACGTCGAGGTCTGTGTTCTCTTACTCGTAAATTTAATTCCTGGGTTTTATTTGGGAACATTCTTTACGTTCTCGCATGGCCACCACTTCTCTATGTTTCCAGTGCAACATTTGCTCTGGCCATGTCTGCATTTTATTGTCTTATAATCTGGGCAGCGTTTTGTACACTATGGCTTGGATTGCCTTTAATTAACTTAACTTGGGTTTACTGTTTCCATCAGTAATCTTCGTTATTTACATAAAAAAGCATTTCGTTTTCAGTTATATAATTTGCTTCATCCATTCCCTTTCCTTTGGCAAATGATGCGTTATTTTTTTCATCAGTCTCGTTTTGTGTTGCACACATTTTAAAAGATCAACGTCCCTCCTGACACCGTGCAAATCACAGACCAGATCCTCAATGTCAAAGCACAATTGTGTAGAAGCTTTTCCCCGGGATGCTGTGTAGAGCTTCATGAACTCATGACTTGATGAAGTTTCTATACAGAGGTAACTTTGTCCCAATAACAGCTTGTTCTGTTTACTGTCTTTACATGCATACTTGTCCGCATTATGCTTATATTCAAGCCTTAGTATTCTTACACATATCTGTCATTTTCACTTTATTGTGGAATTTTACACAAATATATATATATATATATATATATATATATATATATATATATATATATATATATATATTATATATAATATATATATATATATATATATATATATATATATACTGTAGGTTCCCTGAAATTAATATAATATAAATTAGATAGTATTACTAAACTCTATCTAAATTTTTGTACAAATTAAGGTTGAACTCAGTACATATAATCTTATACAAGTGAAAACTTATATGTCCAAAATTGCAACACTCTTGTGTTATATTGTAACATGCATTTTTTTTATTGAAATACATACAAGAACACGTAATAATATAATAACTGACAATAAAATACCAAATTATATTACTTATACCATTACCATGTACTGTAGCTTGGTTTTAAATGGCCTGATATACTTTGCCAACCAATGGTTATACTCCTGTTAATTTTGGGTGCGAGGTTTTCCAATGCACTAAATTAGACTTTGATGTCTCCCATCAGAGTTCTAAATTTAGCACGGCAAGAGTTGACTACCAAATTGAGGGACTAAAAGCCACTATGATATTCAGTTAGCCTTATAAATTAACTGTCTCAGATTAAGTGATGGAGCTAATTTCCTAGCTAAATGTCACTTTTCAAAATGATCGATATCTTTTCAGCCACATTTGGCATATATCATTTGACTGTTACTTTTTATCATGCTGCTAGGCGATGCTGCACTTGTGCAATAACCCATAGAATCCGCTTATCAATTACTTTTGGTTTTAAATGTCCACTCTCAAACTTACGTAAATGTATGTGGGAAACTCCTATTACATGACTGGCAAGGACCATATAATAAAGTATTTACGAGCAAAGTATATTTAGGCATACGATATCTGTACATTATATATATATATATATCTATATATATATATATTTTATATATATATTATATATATATATATATATATATATATATATATATATATATATATATATATATATATATATCTTTCTTTCTTTCAACACACCGGCCGTATCCCACCGAGGCAGGGTGGCCCAAAAGGAAAAACGAAAGTTTCTCCTTTTACATTTAGTAATATATACAGGAGAAGAGGTTACTAGCCCTTGCTCCCGGCATTTTAGTCGCCTCTTACAACACGCATGGCTTACGGAGGAAGAATTCTGTTCCACTTCCCCATGGAGATAAGAGGAAATAAACAAGAATAAGAACTAGAAAGAAAATAGAAGAAAACCAGAGGGGTGTGTATATATGTGCTTGTACATGTATGTGTAGTGTGACCTAAGTGTAAGTAGAAGTAGCAAGACGTACCTGAAATCTTGCATGTTCATGAGACAGAAAAAAGGACACCAGCAATCCTACCATCATGTAAAACAATTACAGGCTTTCGTTTTACACTCACTTGGCAGGACGGTAGTACCTCCCTGGGCGGTTGCTGTCTACCAACCTACTACCTATAATATATATATATATATAATATATATATATATATATATATATATATATATATATATATATATATATATATATATATATATATATACACTAGGATAGCGCGCCTGTCTAATTCGAATGATTTTGTCAAGTTAGCGCTGGTTAATGACGATAAGAGGCTTTACTTTTCAAGGATGAAGAGGAATGTTACTTCTGATTAAAAATTCGTTAAAACACCCACTAAGACGTAGATTTTTGTACGCTCATATAACCCAAGACTGGCATGTATATGCTTTTGGGTGAACTTAAAAGTTACTTCTCTGGGTGTTATAAGTCTCAAAATAGGCTACGAAGCAATTTCTTGCCAGCTGTAATATGAGGACAAGTAAGAGATAATACAGTGTTCGACATAAGTGTGTTGACACTAATATATAATGATTACAGGAGGTAGTTTTTACCATAAGCGAATGGGGAGAAATCTTCGTGTTATGAGTGCAAAGTCATGAAGGAACCGATGTTAACCTGTGTGTACTTTATTTAGTGTTGTTATATCACTGAGTGCATGGAGCTGAAAGTATTTATAGTCGAAAGTGAGAAGAGAGAGATGCTGTAAGTCTTCTCTACATTTGCTTCTAAAGGGTCATTCATTATATTACATTTATACTCTTTAAATGCACTTAGTAAGCATTCATATTTCTATATCGTCTAATGACACAAATCTAAAATAAAAGAAGTGCCGTACCAGACTATACAACTATGCAGATTTCATAGAACTTAAAGTGCTGAAATATTAAAGATATATACATTTGACTCAGATTTCTAGGACCAGCTTCCATGTAATTCCTGGTAAATGCAGTTTTAGTCTGTATGCCATTTTTGTGGTAGTTGTCCTCTACTACGAGACAATATTGTGTTCTGTTAGCAGCATAAGTTGAAAACTTTAGCCGCATTTGTAAATGTAAAATTTATAAATGCGTTACAGGTCAATTAAGGACCAAATAATGAACAATAATATAATCATGCTAAGCACTAAACCTGCAACTAAGGATCAAATGTTTTACTAAAATGTTTGGTGGACATTTTTATCATGGTATTGAACAAGTGTGCAATGAATCCAACTCTCTCTCTGCATATATATATATATATATATATATATATATAATATATATATATATATATATATATATATATATATATATATATATATATATGATCGACACCATGCCTAACCCTTGTAGGGTAGGGTAGGTGCCTGAGCCCGAGCCTTTAGCTCATAAGACTGTCATTCCCATTAGCCCCCTTGGGGCGGGGATGGCAGACCAGAGAGGCCTAGCTTGTGGTTAGGCCTGGGGACAGTTGGTCCCAAAGATGAGGAGGTACTTGTGCCTCCTCCCATGGGAGACTTAGGTCTCAGACACTCCCTAAAGAGGGAGCCAAGGCCGGGCCACCACTTGGAAAAGGCCCGGGCCGGGAGAATACCGGCTATGTGTGATGTCACCGTGGTTGTTTAATATATTTATAGATGGGGTTGTAAGAGAAGTAAATGCGAGGGTCTTGGCAAGAGGCGTGGAGTTAAAAGATAAAGAATCACACACAAAGTGGGAGTTGTCACAGCTGCTCTTTGCCGATGACACTGTGCTCTTGGGAGATTCTGAAGAGAAGTTGCAGAGATTGGTGGATGAATTTGGTAGGGTGTGCAAAAGAAGAAAATTAAAGGTGAATACAGGAAAGAGTAAGGTTATGAGGATAACAAAAAGATTAGGTGATGAAAGATTGAATATCAGATTGGAGGGAGAGAGTATGGAGGAGGTGAACGTATTCAGATATTTGGGAGTGGCGTGTCAGCAGATGGGTCTATGAAAGATGAGGTGAATCATAGAATTGATGAGGGAAAAAAGAGTGAGTGGTGCACTTAGGAGTCTGTGGAGACAAAGAACTTTGTCCTTGGAGGCAAAGAGGGGAATGTATGAGATGTATAGTTTTACCAACGCTCTTATATGGGTGTGAAGCGTGGGTGATGAATGTTGCAGCGAGGAGAAGGCTGGAGGCAGTGGACGATGTCATGTCTGAGGGCAATGTGTGGTGTGAATATAATGCAGAGAATTCGTAGTTTGGAAGTTAGGAGGAGGTGCGGGATTACCAAAACTGTTGTCCAGAGGGCTGAGGAAGGGTTGTTGAGGTGGTTCGGACATGTAGAGAGAATGGAGCGTAACAGAATGACTTCAAGAGTGTATCAGTTCTGTAGTGGAAGGAAGGCGGGGTAGGGGTCGGCCTAGGAAAGGGTTGGAGGGAGGGGTAAAGGAGGTTTTGTGTGGCGAGGGGCTTGGATTTCCCAGCAGGCATGCGTGAGCGTGTTTGATAGGAGTGAATGGAGACAAATGGTTTTAATACTTGACGTGCTGTTGGAGTGTGAGCAAAGTAACATTTATGAAGGGATTCAGGGAAACCGGCAGGCCGGACTTGAGTCCTGGAGATGGGAAGTACGTGCCTGCACTCTGAAGGAGGGGTGTTAAGTTAGTGGGCAGTTTAAAAACTGTAGTGTAAAGCACCCTTCTGGCAAGACAGTGAGGCGATTTGAATGATGGTGAAAGTTTTCTTTTTGGGCCCCTGCCTTGGTGGAATCGGCCGGTGTGATAATAAAAAAAAATAATTATATATATATTATATATATATATATATAATATATATATTTATATATATATATATTATATATATAAGTGGAAAGAAACGTTTATATTTCATACCATAAGCAGAATGCATTAGGATATAGAGGAAATTGCAAATCTGGCATTCTATTTTTATACCGTGTAATGCACTTAGTTTGCTAGTAAATGCTGCCTTAACTGAGGGCCAAGTGTACATGAATTAGGAAAACAAAGACTGTATGATTAAACATAATTATTTGGCCACTTTCCTTCGTGTAGTAGCTACTCTCCCGATGTGTGAACAAGGTGTAGCTTCACTAATGCTTTGATTTCTCAAAATCTACTTTTTTAACAATTATTTAAAAATGAGCAGCTAAATAAAAAAGAATGAGTTACATGTAAGCATACAGTATGGAAAAATAGTGTGCTGGTTATCACTGTTAATTTTAGCATTTTGCACCACATACCATGTTGCCTATTTACTGCAGTGTTGAGCTCATGTTATTATGAGTCTACTAAAACCCTTTCATTCCACACACTCATCATCTATGGTTTTAAAAAGCAATGCTTGTGTTACTTTTAACATTTAAATACCATCATTATGATTATTTACAATGAAAAATCATAAACTTATAAACACTGCATGTCTCTTATGATCACAGCTGGGTTCTCTTGACGTACACTTCACTGGAACTTCCTTCATTTTATATTTCTTTTGTTTCCATCTCAACAGTTCCTCAGTCTATCTTTGTCTTTGTTGTTTCGTACATTTAATATCTTTACATTTATTTTGAAGTTTGTATTTCTACGGCATTTTTCTCGCCTTATACACATTTCGAAATGGTGAATTAATTTTGCATGCCTTTCACTGTTGTTTCCTTAAGAGTATTTAAAAGCAAGATAAGAGGTGCAGATCATTATGATGGTAGATGTGCATAGCTTAGCAGGACACACAGCTGTAGGTCTGGGCACGACACACATACGTAGGTGAAGGCGTCTTAGCAAGATGCTCAAATCTCCAAGGCTCAACAGGATGCACAAGCCGAGGCTCCATTCTCACCCTTCTGATCTGCCTCCAACTTGACTCCCTCGTGCTGCCGCTCCCGCTCTTCAAACAAACTTGCCTGCACAATTATTGTCATCAATTTTACAACTAGAATTTCCCTCAAGTAGAAGACATGAAAGAAGATCAATGCAAACAAAGACTTCTTAACTAAGTAATAATATCAAAACAATTAAAATTACTAAATATGTTGTTATAGTTGGGTTACAAAGAAAGTTTTAAGGGTTATTAAGAAGTTAAAATACTACTAGGGAAACAGATGATGACGTTGTTAAGTAGGTTTAAGCCATCCTAAATAAATTACATAAATTTATTGAAATCTTTTGTAGCGGTATTAGTATTACACAGCTGAATGTCAACACATGTAGCCTTCTGCACGGTTATTGTACCCGGATGATTACTTAAATGCGATTCCATGTTTTGTTATCAATAAAACATTAAGAGAAATAAAATGGCATACCAAAGTGTGTATAAATAATTGTAATAAATTATGAAGATTTCGAGCTATACGAAAAATATAAGATATACGAGTTCGAATAAAAAATTAGGAATATTATTTTTTTTACACAGGAATTATAACCCCCCCCCCGGGGGAGGCATTAACTTTGTTGTAGTGGGTTGGGTTACCTTCTATGATCGAGTAAGCAATATTGGCAGACGCCTTTGGCATAGGAATGGTAGATAGAGCCTTCCCGGTAACTATATGTTGGCGTGGGTCCAGACCAATAGCTGCCACTAATGTAGGACTCCAGTATGGGTTGTCTGCTGCGCCCACAGGACGGGCCGCTGAGGTCATCCTCTCTCTGTAGCATGGTTGAGTGGTCTACCTAGTTTGCAACCATGGGAAATTCCCATGGTGTTTGCCCTTTTCCCTTCCATTCCTCTGAGGTTCCTTACTCTGTTATAAACTCGCCCTCACTCTTACCTGAACACTCCCATCACACTCAGGTGCTAGTCTCTGTACATTGATAAGTCCAAATCCACTAATTGAGTGGGATACATTGCCATTTTCATGATCATGTGATTCAGTGTCCATTGCCACAGTCGGCCAGTATTTTTACAGAACTATATGACTTCTTGTGACACTGTCATGATTACCATGTTGGTCTCGTAGCTTGGTTTAGTCTCAGGCTTTGGAAGTATGATGAGGGCACTCCACTCCTATGATTCTCATATCCTCTCGCCCATCATACAATGTTGTCTGTGTCGCATTTTCAGCACGCATATTATTATTATTATTATTATAAGATTTATGAGGGAAACGTTAAACTCATAAGCTTCATACATAGGCTTGGGGAATAGGTAGCAATCATACACAAATAACCCGCACATAAAAGAGAGAAGCTTACGACGACGTTTCGGTCCGACTTGGACCATTTACAAAGTCTTTGTAAATGGTCCAAGTCGGACCGAAACGTCGCCGTAAGCTTCTCTCTTTTATGTGCGGGTTATTTGTGTATCGTTCCAGTCACGGTATTGTGCCTTTTTTTGTTATTTAGGTAGCAATCAGGTTTCATAGAAGTAAGGAGAGAAAAGCTCCGATTTCTAAGATTAAGAATACCACACTTCTCCACCCCCAAAAGCTAACTTGATAATGGTCCATGACAGACTGAACCGTGGTCCCCCCCCCCCCCCTCCATTTCCCATGAAGGGTACAGCAGACATAAAAGGTTCATTTTCCGGCTGGGACCGCCACTTTGGTTTACAATACAATATATTCACGTGATGCACTCTAAACCAACGTGAGTCATTCAGTGCAAGGAGTGATGGAGGCTCGACCCTCCGTCCACTACTCCACCCAGTCACTATGCTACACATATCAATGAACTAGCAGACTACGATCCCTTGCTCAACAAGACACCGTCAGTTCTCCCATAAGCAGTTTCCCTTTACCCACTATTTTCGGATACTAAACCCACACAGGTTTAGCACTTTCCATAATAATACTAATTTACATAAAACGATGATAAATCAATAGATAACCTTACGAAACCTTCATTATATGTGATAAATGCATTGCTTGATAAACTGTGAAGCTTAGAGGCCTATTTACCCAAGTCTCGTATAAGCCTGGCCAGTGTCAGGAAGGTATCCTGCACCATCACGCCCCTACTTACCCGTCTCTGCCTCAGGTCTCGTATAAGCCTGGCCAGTGTCAGGAAGGTATCCTGCACCATCACGCCCCTACTTACCCGTCTCTGTCTCAGGTCTCGTATAAGCCTGGCCAGTGTCAGGAAGGTATCTTGCACCATCACGCCCCTACTTACCCGTCTCTGCCTCAAGTCTCCTCGTATAAGCCTGGCCAGTGTCAGGAAGGTATCCTGCACCATCACGCCCCTACTTACCCATCTCTGCCTCAAGTCTCGTATAAGCCTGGCCAGTGTCAGGAAGGTATCCTGCACCATCACGCCCCTACTTACCCGTCTCTGTCTCAGGTCTCGTATAAGCCTGGCCAGTGTCAGGAAGGTATCCTGCACCATCACGCCCCTACTTACCCATCTCAGCCTCAGGTCTCGTATAAGCCTGGCCAGTGTCAGGAAGGTATCCTGCACCATCACGCCCCTACTTACCCATCTCTGCCTCAAGTCTCGTATAAGCCTGGCCAGTGTCAGGAAGGTATCCTGCACCATCACGCCCCTACTTACCCGTCTCTGCCTCAAGTCTCGTATAAGCCTGGCCAATGTCAGGAAGGTATCCTGCACCATCACGCCCCTACTTACCAGTCTCTGCCTCAGGTCTCGTATAAGCCTGGCCAGTGTCAGGAAGGTATCCAGCACCATCACGCCCCTACTTACCCGTCTCTGCCTCAGGTCTCGTATAAGCCTGGCCAGTGTCAGGAAGGTATCCTGCACCATCACGCCCCTACTTACCCGTCTCTGTCTCAGGTCTCGTATAAGCCTGGCCAGTGTCAGGAAGGTATCCTGCACCATCACGCCCCTACTTACCCGTCTCTGCCTCAAGTCTCGTATAAGCCCTGGCCAGTGTCAGGAAGGTAACCTGCACCATCACGCCCCTACTTACCCGTCTCTGCCTCAAGTCTCGTATAAGCCTGGCCAGTGTCAGGAAGGTATCCTGCACCATCACGCCCCTACTTACCCGTCTCTGCCTCAAGTCTCGTATAAGCCTGGCCAGTGTCAGGAAGGTAACCTGCACCATCACGCCCCTACTTACCCATCTCTGCCTCAGGTCTCGTATAAGCCTGGCCAGTGTCAGGAAGGTAACCTGCACCATCACGCCCCTACTTACCCGTCTCTGCCTCAAGTCTCGTATAAGCCTGGCCAGTGTCAGGAAGGTAACCTGCACCATCACGCCCCTACTTACCCATCTCTGCCTCAGGTCTCGTATAAGCCTGGCCAGTGTCAGGAAGGTAACCTGCACCATCACGCCCCTACTTACCCGTCTCTGCCTCAAGTCTCGTATGAGCCTGGCCAGTGTCAGGAAGGTAACCTGCACCATCACGCCCCTACTTACCCGTCTCTGCCTCAGGTCTCGTATAAGCCTGGCCAGTGTCAGGAAGGTAACCTGCACCATCACGCCCCTACTTACCCGTCTCTGCCTCAGGTCTCGTATAAGCCTGGCCAGTGTCAGGAAGGTAACCTGCACCATCACGCCCCTACTTACCCGTCTCTGCCTCAAGTCTCGTATAAGCCTGGCCAGTGTCAGGAAGGTAACCTGCACCATCACGCCCCTACTTACCCATCTCTGCCTCAGGTCTCGTATAAGCCTGGCCAGTGTCAGGAAGGTAACCTGCACCATCACGCCCCTACTTACCCATCTCTGCCTCAAGTCTCGTATGAGCCTGGCCAGTGTCAGGAAGGTAACCTGCACCATCACGCCCCTACTTACCCGTCTCTGCCTCAGGTCTCGTATAAGCCTGGCCAGTGTCAGGAAGGTAACCTGCACCATCACGCCCCTACTTACCCATCTCTGCCTCAGGTCTCGTATAAGCCTGGCCAGTGTCAGGAAGGTAACCTGCACCATCACGCCCCTACTTACCCGTCTCTGCCTCAAGTCTCGTATGAGCCTGGCCAGTGTCAGGAAGGTAACCTGCACCATCACGCCCCTACTTACCCGTCTCTGCCTCAGGTCTCGTATAAGCCTGGCCAGTGTCAGGAAGGTAACCTGCACCATCACGCCCCTACTTACCCGTCTCTGCCTCAAGTCTCGTATGAGCCTGGCCAGTGTCAGGAAGGTAACCTGCACCATCACGCCCCTACTTACCCGTCTCTGCCTCAGGTCTCGTATAAGCCTGGCCAGTGTTAGGAAGGTATCCTGCACCATCACGTCTCCTCGACAAGATACTTCAAAGAATGGCATGTCGAAACTCTCCGCTAGCTGTTGGATAGGAAAACTAGACTCAGTTAGCTGGCCCTATACAGTATAATGATGGTGTATAGATGACATGATGAAGCTCCACTGTAACTGAAACGTAAAATATTTTTTCCCTTAGTCAAAATAATTAATTAAATTATTAGTTTTTGAATTACAAGACTGTATATTGTTTCGACACAAACGAAGATGAACCATGAAAAATATACCTTAATATTATCGAATTCCTACTATATACAGAGGAAAAATCAACATGAATTATTAGTATAGAGTAGGTGGTGAAATACAAAGAAGTGAAATTTGTGTACATAATCGTATTTAAATTCTGGTCCCAAACCCTATCCTTGGTGGATAATTGTTATTGGGAATCGCTAAATCCATAGGTGGTCACACAGCGCCTGGGATATGGTACGCAATCGGTTTCGACCCAAAGAGGAAGAAAAGGTTCAATTCCTATGATCAAAAGCCACCTCCTCGAGGCACCTTCGAGGAGTATCCTTCATGTGGAGAACCAATTAATACTTGTTTAGGTGTATATTAATAGTACAGTGGACCCCCGCATAGCGAACGCCTTGCATAGCGAACAATCCGCATAGCGAACGCTTTGTTCGCTGAAATTTTGCCCCGCATAGTAGACAAAAACCCGCTCAGCGAACTTCGTCCGAGACGCGTCCAATGTGGGCCCTCAGCCAGCCTCACATGTGCCGCCCGTCCCATTGTTTACCAGCTAGCCTCCGCGGTAACATTCAAGCATACACTCGGAATATTTCGTATTATTACAGTGTTTTCGGTGCTGTTTCTGGAAAATAAGTGACCATGGGCCCCAAGAAAGCTTCTAGTGCCAACCCTGTGGTAAAAAGGGTGAGAATTAGTATGGAAATTAAGAAAGATTTTGAAGGGTTTGGGGCTAACCCTGAGAAGCCTATGCCAGTTGTGGAATCCATTGTGCCTACTTCAAAAATTAAGGAAATGTGTGCACAGTGGGTTGAACTGCAAACCTTTATGGATGAAAATCACCCTGACACAGCTGTTGCAAGCCGTGCTGGTGACTATTTCAATGACAATGTTATGGCCCATTTTAGGAAAGTCTTGAAGGAACGGGAGGTACAGAGCTCTATGGACAGATTTGTTGTGCGACAGAAGTCCAGTGACTCTGAAGCTGGTCCTAGTGGCATTAAAAGAAGAAGGGAAGTAACCCCAGAAAAGGACTTGCTACCTCAAGTCCTAATGGAAGGGGATTCCCCTTCTAAACACTAACACTCTCTCTCCCCTCCTCCCATCCCATCAATCATCACCAGATCTTCAATAAAAGTAAGTGTCATGTAATTGTGCATGCCTTTTTCAGTTTGTGTGTACTAAAATTAACATTTTTTTGTGGTAAAAAAATTTTTTTTTCATACTTTTGGGTGTCTTGCACGGATTAATTTTATTTCCATTATTTCTTATGGGGAAAATTAATTCGCATAGCGAACATTTCGCATAACGACCAGCCCTCTTGCACGGATTAAGTTCGCTATGCGGGGGTCCACTGTATTCAGTATTATTGTACTTTTTATATAAAGTAAATATTGCCTAATTATAATCCTAAATATTGTTTACGTAGTAGACATTATTATAGCTTTTTTTTGTGAAACGCTAAACTTATTAGGGTCATTCAGCGCAAGGAGTGGTGGAGGCTCGATCCTCTGTCTGCTAATCTCGAGAAGAACGTACTTTTCTTCCTACCAGCCTTCCTGGCTGGGATAGCAGTATGAGCCTGTATAGTGTGTGTTTAGCACTAAAGTCTAGCACCAAAATTTAGTACTAAAGTCTAGCAAAGAAGTTTTGGAGAAATAATTTGCAGACAAAAATTTTAGTATCAGAATATAATAAGTTGGAATATGTTTGTTTCAATTAGATTATCAGGTAATATTTATCATTGACTATTACTGAACCGGAATTATAACCACTGCAATTAACTTGTGTAAACAAATCCATAAACATAGCCCATGACATTAATATCATAGCTCGCCTACAAACACTCGCGTTTATGACTTCTCTTCGATTCCAGTTCCATTTCCTACTAAATTACATACATAAAGTTTCTCATTAATGCACTGTCTTCTCGTCTGTAGTCTGGTTTTACTCTGAACTCCTTCTTAGCTAATTTCCAGAATTATTATTATTATTATTATAATCAAAAAGAAGCGCTAAGCCACAAGGACTATACAGCGCTGCAGGGCAGGAAGGAAGCGAGGGTATCAGGTGGCAAAAGGGAGATGGATGAGTAATAGGTTACGGATAACAGCGGGGTAGTGGATGGTGAAAGGGTAAAGGGCAGCAAGAGACTGAACTAGAAAGGGCTGAGGGGAGTGCGAAAAGTATCATCAGAGTTTGTGGAGTAAATCAGTCGTTGTCAAGAAGTCAATGAGAGAGTCAGGATTATTATTATTATTATAATCAAAAAGAAGCGCTAAGCCACAAGGACTATACAGCGCTGCAGGGCAGGAAGGAAGTGAGGGCATCAGGTGGCAAAAGGGAGATGGATGAGCAACAGGTTACGGATAACAGCGGGGCAGTGGATGGTGAAAGGGTAAAGGGCAGCAAGAGACTGAACCAGAAAGGGCTGAGGGGAGTGCGAAAAGTATCATCAGAGTTTGTGGAGTAAATCGGTCGTTGTCAAGAAGTCAATGAGAGAGTCAGGATTAAAGGAGGGTCCATCAGCAAGAAGGGAAGGTAAAGAGAGAGTAGTAGAACGAAGACGACTTTGGAGGTAAATTCTGCGTGCTCGTTGATGGGAGGGCAGTCTAACAGAATGTGGCTAATCGATACTGGAACTTGACACTGCTCACAGAGAGGAACAGGGTGCCTCTCCATGAGATACCCATGAGTAAGACGAGTGTGGCCAATGCGAAGGCGGGAGAGAGTGGTCTCCCAACCTCGGCACTGATGACAAGAAGACGGCCAGTAACCTATGCTCGGTTTAATAGAATGAAGTTTGTTTTCTGAGCAGAGTTGACCAACGTTGTTGCCAACGGGTGCAAAGGTAGGTAGCTATTGCAGCAAAATAGTCCAGAAATGGAACACTCGATAGGAAATCGGTAGGTCATGTACTGCTGACCGCGCAGCAGTGTCTGCCTGTTCATTGCCCCGTACGTCGACATGACCAGGGGACCAACCAAAAAACAATATCTTTATGTTTGGTAGAGATACGGCTAGCCAAAGTTGGATACGGAGACTAGGGGGTGAGATTGTATCAAATTTTCGTATAGCCTTAGAGCACTAAGGGAGTCTGAGACTACTACAAATGATGACACAGGCATAGATGCAATACGAATAAGTGCTGCAAGAATGGCATACAGGGTTTAGCATTAAAAAAGCTGCTGTAGATAGTAAATGCCCCCGCACGACGCTGTCTGGAAACACTGCTGCGAATCCGACGCCATCTGAAGACTTAGAGCCATCTGTGTACACAGCGGTGGCATGAAAATGGGAGTGGAAGTGATCAAGAAAAAAGAGCGGGAGCACCGTAGGCATTGAGCTTTCAAAAAGGGAGTAAGAAAGAACAACCCGAACAGCGGGAACTTCCGGGGGGGGGTAGGGAAAGTGAGATGCTACATGAACAATAAAAGGTGGAACTGAAGGGAAGCAAGGTAAATGCAGGAAAGGAAAAAAGGGGACGGAGCAAAAGGGGCAGGAACGAATAAAGAATGCTCTAATTCGGTGACCATTCTATAAATGGAAGGATTGTGTAATCGTGAGACTACATAGTCGAAGGCAATGGGCATCACGGCGATCAGAAAAGGATGGAACATTGCTTCTGTTAGAGGCTCTCAACAGGGGAAAGAGCAAAAAAGCACCAAGCAAATAACCCTTTGGTATGGATAGAGTTGGTAGAGAGAGTACGGGGGGCCCGCGGAAAAAATTGGTCCCCTTCAGTTTCGATAAAACGGGGTGAATGTAGGCGAAGCGAGTTAAACGATCAGCTCCCCGGGAAAGATGAGAAGGGTTTTAGAAGGTTTACCCGGCTGTGAAAAATTCCCTTTCGAAGGTAATTGGGGTTTTCCCGGATAACCGAGGTCAAAGAGAAGGGCCCTAAAACCCTGACGTATCACGTTGGGGATACGGGGCCTAGAGATACAAAGGATGATGGGGGGAAAAGAGCGTCTAGTAAAAGAAATTTTGGTGAGTTTTGGTACTTGAAAATTTAAACCCATGTGTGGTGGCCCAAGGGAAACCGGTCGCCCCGCTGCTGGAGAAAAACTGAAATAAGAGACAGTCAGCCCCTGCACAAGCAATGCGAATTTTAAAACATAGAGTGATGCCCAAAATATTGGGGGGAAAAGAACAGAGGCCAAACATTTATGAAGAGAAAAATGTTGTGTTTAGAACCATCCTGGGGGACCCTTCAGCTTGGGCAAAGTCCGGGAAAGAACATTATTGACTCGAACAGGAAAATGTTGTCATTTAAAAGTTCTTAAGGGAAGGAGGGTAGATTCCCTCGAGGCCTAAGGAATGGCCTGGGCCAAATTTATCCCTTCAAGTTGGCTATGCCTTTAAAGGGTCAAAAAATATGGCAAAAAACGGTGTTTATTCGAAAAAGGCTTAGAACATACGATCCAAGCTAGTAAGGGGTCTAGGGGGTGAACGCCCCTTTACGAAAGCCATTTTGACAGCGGAGAGATGTTGTGTGTCTTAAATACCACATTAAACGTCGATTTCGAGCGTTCCATCATTTTGAAAACTGAATAGAAAGGGCGATGGGGGGATAGTGGGGCATCTGTCCGTAGCCCCGGGTTTGGGGGAAAGGGAGAAAAATGGCAGTTTCCACAGCTGGAAAAAAATCCTTGTGCCCAAAAAAGATTGAAGAGGTGAAAGAGGACAAAGGGGCGCCAATGTAAATTTTAAAACATACAATATGGATTGTCAGCCCCTCCCCGATGATCGGCAAGCTAAAGGGTTGCCCCCCGTTCTTGAAGTGTAAAAGGCCAATTTACTGTTTTTCTGAAGAAAAAAGCCAAAGGGGT